TTTATATTTGATTTTTCTCGCCTCGCCGGGCAATTGGTTCAGCCGCGTCTCCAGTGTGCTTCCGTTCGATAAAAGTGAGCAAATCCATCAATCTTCTATATCAGTATCAATATCAAATTTGAGCCAGTTACACCGCCAAATATACATAGAAATTTCATTTTGATTTGCCGTTGAAAATCGAAATTAAACGAACAATAATTAAATTGTAGCGAAAACTAATTTGGAATCTTCTGAAAGAACATTAGGAAATTCTTCTACACGAGATGAATGAAATTAGCTCTGTTAGGAATATTAAAAATGTCTATGTTATTAACAGTGCTATGTAGAAATATCCATTTAACAAATTTGATAACAAATTTCCCTAAATATCTCCATGGGGATCAAATCAAATTGATATTAATACGAAATGAAATGAAAAATAATTAAACAAAAATGTAATTTTTAACAATTTAAATTATAATAATGAAAATAAAAGGCAATTCGCTTGCTCTTCAGCCAGCTCTCTAGCTCTTGTACAGCTCGCTTCTGGTTCAGCCGCCACGCCCTTTGGCCAGCCCCAGCACACTTTATCCCATTTTTATTTCGTTTGATGCTATATTTAATCTTTACTCTATATATCTACATGTATCGATATGTATTTGATCTACGTCTCTATATCAATGTAAATGTATGTATGTGTTAAAAAAAAAAAAAAAAAAAAAAAAAAAACAAACAAAAGATTTCAAAAAACAAAAAGAGGCCGAGGAGCATGCACAGAAGCTGCTCATCGCTCAGCAATTGGCCGCTGCTGGCGGCGGCAGTGGCAGCGGCGTCTCTGCCTCCAGTTCGGCTGCCTGTTTAGTGGGCGGCAGTAGCAGCAGCAGCAGCTGCAGTGGCGCCAACGCCGTATCGGCAGCAGCAGCAGCAATGACAGCAAACGATCCGCTGGACGAGCTCACCGAACAGCAGCGCCGCATGCTGCAGCAGTACTCGATATCGCCGCCCAGCGAGACAATGATATCGGCCGATGGCGATCAGATAACGGTGCATCATCCGCGCGAGGAGCCCAAGAAATCCAGATTGAAATTGCGCGACTTCTTCGTCGCCGAATTTGGTATTTTATCACGACGATGATCACATTGATAAGCAATCGCTCTCTCTCTCTCTCTCTCGCTCTCTCGTATGCTCGCTCTCCCTGCAAGCTAAATACCACAATCATCAGCTCGCTCTCTCACAATTAGCGCTCGTTCGCTCGTTCCACTCTCGTTTTCTCTCTCGCTCTCTCGTTGTCTCTGTCTGTGTAAAGAGTGTGTTTTTATGCGTGTGTCTGTGTGTATGCAGTGAAAGTCTCAATTCTGTGAGAGTTCTTAGAGAGAGGTAAACAAAGTTCACAAGAGACGTTCGCTAATTGGAGCTTTCACTGTATATAGCCCGTCCTGTTGTGTCCCAATCTAGCCCAGTTTCCTTTGCTGCAAAGTTGATAACAATTGACATCTGCTGATTACACTCATTTTTCGCAATACGAATCCTTCAGCTTAATCCTTTCATTACGCTGCTGAAGCACACAGCACCACACATCGGCAACAGTAATAATAACCACAACAACAACAACAACATTGGCAATTGTCATTGCAGAAAGTATGCAAAGTTTTTGTTTGGTAAAATTCTTTGTTTACACAAGAGAATTGAAACAGAATGCATATTTCATTCCCTTGTGTTGGGCACACAGCATTGTAAAATATGTTATTTGTTTCGATTCCAGTGCACTCCCTTATACATACACACACACACACATCAGCATCTGCTATATACATACATATCTCCCGTGAGAGCATTTTAACTTTGTATTTCTTTTTTCCAAGTTTTTTTGTTTGCCTAAAAATAGCAGCGAAAAAAGTAATAAATGCATTTTATGAAAGTTCTTGCGCTGTTAAACTCATTTGTGTATATTCGAAAGATATGTACACAAGCATTTTCCTAGAAGAATGTAGATATTCATATGTATATACATGTCTCGCACA